TTGAGCGTCAAAGGTACCACATATTTAGGACGACAAATGCGTGCAACACGATGTCCATCGAGCCAATCAGCTTCTCTCCTGGCGTAGGTGCCGGCACGATTGGCTGGTGACTCAGTGACTGAATGTAGCTTGAAATTTAAATTATTGATTGTCTGGCACGATGCGTTCGCTCGCGTGTAGGCCGATCGACAGCTTCCTGTGAGCGCGGCTGCCTGCTGCCTGTATGATAGCCGTTGGGTCCTTCCTAACACTTACAGACCCGCAGCCCAGTTCTGAGGTGGGCTTATTTCCACCAAGAAAGCAAGTCAACGGTTTCCGCGCATGGTCCTAACTCACCGTGAATGAGTTTCATGGGTTGAGAAAACCTGACCAACCAGTTGCCTCTAACGGCCTCATAAGTATTTACCGGAGTATTGTCCTTGGCAAGAATGGCACGTCCTCCTACTCCTCCCCAATCAGTGGGAGTAATCGCGGATAATTCGGGAAATAAATTACTTCAATTTACACGCAGGAGAGGCAACTGAAGTTGCGACCGTCTCTGATGATGAGTTCGCTTGGGAATTCTAAACGACAGGTTCCAGCGACATCCAGGTGACGTCATCCCCCTAATGCACACAGTACGTAGGTTCGAAACCCTGAATAGAACTGGGACAGTAGGTCGGGTTAAAGGCTACGCGGTAGTGTAAAGATTTGTTTTAAAATCGAAATATAGCCTCTGCTACGAAATAAATACGAGGAAGAATTCAGATTTGGAAAGGCGAGAGTTCCGGTCAGTCCTCAAACAAGAAGAAATATGGACCAGAAAATTGGCACCTCAAGAAGTATAATTCGGTAGAAAAAGTCCTTCGGGAAACGATAGTTTATTGTGTGAATTTTCTACACTGGCTCACCAGGTCATCGTCAGACAGATGAAAGCTGTACGAAACAGTTAATTCGAAATGATGGCTAACACAAGAGTATATAGGGGGTCAGGGTATAAGTCGATAATCATCACCCGCATGTAATTATGGGGCCGGTTGGGAACTAGTTTTCTACTGCATTTAATTGTGCGGTCATTGGGGGCTGCTTTTTGCTTCGCCTAGTCCGGATAGACTGCCGTCTTTTCCGAGTTTGGTGTACATCACATCCAATTCGACGTGCCCATTGGTGCACGAGTCATCGGTGTTGACGGCTTCTAAAAACGCACGGCCCTTGTGTGGGCAAGAGCCAACAATGCAAGGTTAGTCTGATGCAAATTGGTGCCCAGTTTCTAATGTGTGCATGGCGACTTCGGACAAGCGAAATCGCCCCTTCACAACTTGTTGGTGTTCGCGTAAGCGTGTGGAGACTGATATCCCTGTCTGTCCACAATAAACTGTATTGCAGCCGCCACAAGGGATCCTGTAAATGGCTTCTTTTCTGCAAACCCTACCCCTAGGATTTACAAGCTTATTTCGCAGAGCATTCGTAGGTTTGTGCACCACTTGGACCTGATGCTTCCTCAGGTGTCCTTACTAACGAGTCCAGACACGTTCTAAATACAGTAGTCACCGGTTATTAAGCCCAAGTCGGCTTGGGACGGAATTTTACATAGCAAAATCGGCCGGCCAATAAGCCCAGTCGCCGGCTACAAAGCCCAGCTTACCAACAGGATAGAGTGAAATTCTCATCTCTGCGTGCGCAACTGGTTACGTGTCGCAAATAATTTTTTGTTTCTGTTATTACGTAAAAATACAGCAAAGCAGTATTATTTTCTTGTACATAACCAAGTTCTACACATAATACAGTACGTATGTAA